CCTCCCTCTCCTCCTCCTCCTCCTCCTCCTCCTCCTCCTCCTCCTCCTCCTCCTCGGGTGGCCCGACGGCCCCGGGGCCCGGGCGCTGCCTCCGGAGGCCGAGGCCGAGGGAGGCCGCCAGGGGCAGCATCGAGAAGGGGGGGGGGGCAGGGAGGCGCTGCCGCGGCGGGCCACCCGAGGCGTCAACAACGTGGAGATGAAGACCGGCAAGTAGGGCCCCAGAGCGGGTCGGGCGGAGTGCCGACCGCGCGCCGGAGCGGCCCTTTGGTGCGGGCACGCTGGAGGGGGCCCAGGGACCCAAAAATACACACACACACACATCCGAGGATTGCCAATTTGTTGTTTCATACTGTTTGTATTTTCATCTTCCCCCCCACTTCCGATATTCTACATATTCTCTGTGGGATCGACGATTAATTGCGTCTGTGTGTTTTTTCCCCTCCTGAACACTTGGGTCCCAAGATGGCTGAAAGGGATGAGGGATGCGATAGCAGCGGCTTGGGCGCTCGGGTTCAGCCCCCCCCCGCGCCCCCCCCAAAAGCCGCGCACCAAAGGTCACTCTTGCCTAGGGTCACTCTTTTGCGAGTCGCCGAGGAGTGGCCCCTCCCCTCCCCCCTAAGTTCGAAGAGGGGAAAACGGCAACAAGCATAAACTTTCGGCGCTCCGCGCGGATTTCTTGGATCTGCGCTGGGACCCCCTGGCAGCGCCTCCGGCGAGGCCCCCTGTCGCGCTCCGCGCGACAGGGAGGGGGGTCCAGCTCAGATCCAAGAAATCCGCGCGCACCGTCAACAGTTTGTGCTTATGCCGTTTTTTGTTCCTCTATGTCCGCTGGGTGATCGGTGCCCTCGCTGATCCAGCCGGCCCTGCCAGCCCAGACCTCCTGGCGCCCCCTAACAAACACACGACGAGCTTTTTTCCTTAATCTGGGCCTCCAGCGCCTATTCTCGGGATGCGCAAACGACCCGCGACCTTTCCCAGCAAAGGGCTGATACAGGCAACCCGCACAGTAAGGACGAGCAACGTTCCAAGGTTGCCCTTGCATCCTTCCCCTTCGGCCCATCCTTGGCCGCTTTCGCTGGCCGCGCCCCGCTCGCAAAGTGTCGATATGGCCTTCCCAGGTCCTCGCGTCCCTATCGTACGTCCTTATTATACGGGCTGACTGTAGCTCTCATACCCATGTCCAGACAAGACCACGACGTCGGAGATCTGGGCATAGCTGGCCTACCCGTGGAGTGCCGGACCGCCCGTCACGCCGTTGCATGCGCACGACCTCTCAACAGCTGACTGCACGCGGAAGCTAGGTGCTCGGCATGACAGATTCATCCTCTGCCTCCCCCTTCCCGTGGTCCCCGTCCTCGCCGCTGGCGGTTGCCATCCGTCGCCGTTGCCGACGCCGTTCTTACTGCCATCCTGCGCGGTGGATGCCAGCCCCCGTCGCAGGCAGACGGCCCAGTGGCGGAGCTCTTTCCTGGCAGCGCACTCATCCTCCCCGCCCCCGGCCTTAGCACCCCGGGCTCCTGCCCTCCGCTCACTGATCATTACGCATAATACAACTCCTAGCCCCAACAACACAGTAAATTGTGGAGCCAACTGGGGTCCACATGTTGTGGGATATCCTTGAGCATGCGGGTGGCTTTGTCTGACACATCTGCAACAAAGACCCCTATCCCTAATGCTTCTGGCCCTCCTGATTTAGGTCCACTCCCAAAGGGTTAGGGATATTGCGAAGGCCTTACGGCCGGTGCCGCCGACCCTGAAGGGAGACGACGACGACGACGACGACGACGACGACGACGACGACGACGACGACGACGACGACGACGACGACGACGCCGACGACGACGACGACGCCGACGACGACGACGACGACGACGACGACGACGACGACGACGACGACGGCGGCGGCGGCGGCGGCGGCGGCGGCGGCGGCAACGATGACGACGCGGACGTGGGCCAGAGTTCTCAGGGATGGTTCTTGGGGTCTCTTCGGGAGTCTCTCGGGGGCCTCTGGGGAGGAATTTTGGGGCCTCTTGGGAGCCTCTTGGGGGCCTCTCCGGACTTCCTGGGGACCTCTTGTGGGCCCCTCCCACAGGGTTAGGGATACTTTTGTCAACTGACCAACTGAAACCCCCCATCCCTGGCCTCCTCCTTTTGTTGCTCCTCGGCTGTCTCTGCTGCCTCCCCTCCATCCTCCCGCCCCTGCGCGTGGCCGGCCAGCGCCTGCCGCTCCTGCTGCTGCTGCTCTGCTGGCCTCCCCTCCACCTTCCGGCTGCCCTCGCCCACCCCCCGCCCGCTGCTGTGCCGCTGGCCTCGCTGTGCCTGGCCCTTCTCCTGGTCCTCCTCCTTCCACCTCCTCCGCCTCCTTCCTCCTCCATCTCCTCTCCCTCCTCACCACCCCCTTCCTCCTCCTCCTCCTCCGCCTCGCTCGCTCGTCCTCCAAACTCCTCCTTCCTCCCCTCCCTCCTCCTTCTCCTTCTCCTACTCCTCCTCCTCCTCCTCCTCCTCCTTGTCCTCCTCCTCGAGGGAGGGTGGAGGGCTGTGGCGTGCCCCTGCTTGCAAGGCGGTTTGCCCCTTCTCCGGATGGGGAAGAACACGCGCAGACACTTTTTTCGTTGGCGGCGAGGCAGAGTTGGCTGCACCAGCGCGAAAGAGCACATAGACATAGTCAATCGTCGGTTCCCCAGAAAATCTGGAAATTGTGGGAAGTGGAGGGGCAGACGAGCATCCAGAAAACATGGGAGGTGCGGGGAATCCAGGAATTTATGCCTCTTTGTTTGCGTGTCCCTGGGCCCCTTCACCTGCGATGTAATCACCAGGACCCCCCCCCCCCCCGCAGCTGCGCAGGAATGTGAGGGGGCAGGGGGGGCGTCGGCAGTCTGCAAGTGTCGAGGGCACGCGTGCAGCAGCCCGCCCGCAGGCGCCGATCTTTCTGCGTCGGAGCAGAGCGGGCGGGTCTCCGAAGAGTCTTCGGCGGATCGGCGGGCCAGTCGCGCGGCGGGTCGCGGGCGGTTCGTGGGTGGGTTTCGGGTGGATCGCAGAGCGGATCGCGTGTGGGTTGCGGGTAGGTCGCTGAAGGGTTGCGGGGCGGGTAGGGGGAGGGTCGCGGGTGGGTCTTGGGGCGGGTTGGAGGTGGGCAGCGAGGTGGCGCCAGCAACACGAAGAACATGATTACGCACCGCGGAGCCGCACTGCAGCCACGCACTTTGGGACTGTAAGACCGCTCGCCCCCCTCAATCTTATGATCGTTGCCAGTGCTGTTCTTATCCAGCTGCTTGCGGCAACTCCCGCCACCGTGCCAGCCCAGCATGCTCGGCGGCTCTCCTTTGAGGGGACACCGGAGGCCGTACTAGCGAGGGATCTTTAGACGATTGCAGACACCCTGCCATACAGCACTTGACACTCCAGCACGCCTCAACGTGCCCGGGGACACGGTGGCGGATCTCAGCCTCGGTGCGCAAGGTTCTCGCCACTGTCACGGAGCAATGGCCTGCTGCTGCTTCCTCTCCTTCAGGACCGGGCGGGACGGGGGGCTGGCAAGCTGGAAGGGCCTACAGCCCTCGCGTTCCCCGCCGCTCGCCCCCTCCGACGGCCGCCGACGTGCAGGGCTTGCTCCCGCCCGCGCGCGCGTGTTGTGCCTGCCAGGCTCCCGAAGCTCAGAGGAGGAAAAGGCACCGATACCGTTGAACTTCCCTCGTTTTCACTCTCTGGGGCCTCCTGGGAGGCCCTCGTCGCCACCGCGGGATTCGCCTCGAAATCCTGGTCAGAACGCACCCCAGGAGAGGTCTGGGGAGTAGCAGTAGCAGTACCTTTGAGTTCCCCAGAAGCAGCAGCAAGAAAGCATCTGCCACGCTTTGTCGGCGACGCGCAGAGGGGGGGAAGGGGGAGGGGGGAAGGCTTCTTAGAAGCACCTCTGCTTCTTAGAAGGCGATGGCCTTATCTATAGATGTACGGCCAGCGCCTCCTAAGAAGCAGCCTCCTTCTAAGAAGCCTTCCACCCTCCACCTGCCCCCTTCTGCGCGGCGCCAACTTTGGTCTCGCGCCGGCGTGCTCCGCTCTCCCCAGGCTTGCTCAGGCGGGGCCCCCCGGCGGGCGCTGCTGCTGCCGCCGGGGCCAGCCATGTGCTGGATTGGGGGCAGGAAGGGCAAAGCGGGCGTCGCGCCCAGCTGCCAGAGGGGCTGATCATGATTGTGCTGATTACGAGGATGATGATAATGATGCTGTTGATGCTGATGATGAGGATGATGCTGATGGTGATGATGCTGCCGCTAATGATGATGATGCTGATGCTTTTGCTGCTGCTGCTGCTGCTGCTGATGGCGATGACGAAAAGGGGAAATAGGAGGAGGAGGGGAGAAGGATGAGGACGAGGACGTGTTCGAGAAGGGGGAGGAGCTATCCAGACTCCGACTATTCGATGTTTTTGGATTGCCTTTCTCCCGACCGCCACCCCTTGACACGTTTTTTTTTTCTTCCTGGGTTGACTTTCGACAGCGCTGTGACCCGGAAAGATCGCTACGCGCGGGGTAAAAACAGCGAAGCACTCTTGGCGATATTTATCGAAAGGTGGATTGAAGCCCCTGGAGGTCTCTGGAAGCCCCCGCAGGGCGCCGCAGGCCTCCATGCAGAGGCTCTGGAGCCGAGCAAACGGCACGACGCGCAAAGCAAATCGATCCTAAAGTCTTCGTCGTCGTCGTCGTCGTCGTCATCGTCATCGTCGTCGTTGTCGCCAGCAGCTTTCTTGTTGTCCCTATCGTGTCTCGTGTCCCCTCTGCCTCGTCTGCTATCTTGGTCAGGTCTCTCGCCGCCTGTCGTCGTTCCGTCGAGCATCCGCAGGCGCGCCTCGGCCGCAGCTCCTGCTGGAACCTGGCCGCCGCCGAGGAGGAGGAGGAGGGGCATGGGGGAGGAGGGGGAGGAGGGAGGAGGAGGAAGGAGGAGGGGGAGGAGGGAGGAGGAGGAGGAAGGAGGAGGGGGAGGAGGGAGGAGGAGGGAGGGAGGAGGATGCAGTTTTCGGCCCCCGAGGGCTCCCCACAGGGCCCCAGGACCGTCCGCGGAAGGACTCCGGACGGAGAGCCGGCCCTGGGGAGAGTTTTCGGGAGCTCGGGGAAGCCGTGCTGGGCAGAAACGGGGCACGGGATCTCGGTGCCCCCCCGGGCCTCGCGACCCTTCGGCCCGTGGCCCGTTTCACATCGAGGGCAGTCTTGTTGACGGTCCTGGGGCCCGCAGCTGGCCTCCAGGCAGCTTGCGCATGAAGAAGGCCTGGGCGTCTCGAGTCTAGCCCCGGGAAGGGGGGTGGCGCGGAGTGCCTGGGGCGGCCCTCTGGGAAGGCAGGGGGGCCTCTCGGAGGGGGTCTGGGCCCAGACGTCAGAAGGATTGCTTTTGTGATGTGAGTTGTGATGCGGAGTGTGTGTGTGTGTGTGTGTGTGTGTGTGTGTGTGTGTGTGGGTTTTGGTGTTTTGGTCTGTTGCTGTCTCGTTGATGACTTTACTTTGAAGCATGTGGGCCTCTTGAGGGCTGTCTTCGGGGCCCTGGACGGTCAAACCTTGATCTGGGGCGCAGAGCTGCCGCCGAGGACGAGGTCGAGACCGCGGGGGGCCGCGGACAGACACAGCAAAGCACATCGCCGCACAGCCAGGGCCCTTCTCCGAAGGACCCCTCGCGCCGCCCGGGCCCCCGAGAGCCAGTGCCACTGTCTTTCTTCGACGCGTGGTCCGCAGAGTGCCCGACCAGCCCCCTTCGGGCCGGCGTGCCGCCCTGGAGCCGCTTCCGCCCCGCCTTCGCCCCACGCTCCCCTGGCGGTCCGGGCCGTGCGCGCCGTCCGCCGCGGCTCCGCGGCCGAGCTCCGTCGGCCGGGCCGGCGCGGGGCCGCGCCGAGGCGGCAACCCCGGTGGCGTGAGGAGGCCCGGGCCTCGGCGCCGCGCCCCCCCGCGCGCGGACTGGCGCGCGAGCCTCCTCCTCCCTCCTCCTCCCTCCTCCCTCCTCCTCCTCCTCCTCCTCTTCCTCCTCCTCCTCCTCCTCCTCCTCCTCCTCCCTCCTCCTCCCTCCTCCTCCCTCCTCCTCCCTCCTCGGCTCGGGGCGCCGCAGGGAGGTCGCGGCGGCCGGTTGGTGCTGTCGTGTTTTCGGCCTCGGTTGCCAGCCCCAGGACCGGCAGAGAACGGCTCAGGATGAAGCCGCTCCCGGGGAGATGGTTGAGATCCCTAGCTGGCCGACGTCGCGATAGTTACGACTGCAGCGTCGGAGGAGAGGTTCGGCCCAGTTCCGATCCTGTCCGATCCAGTGTCGGTGCCCCCCTGTCGATTCGGGCTCTGGCCCCGAGTCTCCATCCTGTCTTCTGGTTTCGATCTCGATCCGATCTGGGAATGCCGATTCTGGTTTCGACCTGATGCTCCAGGGCTCGACCTAAACGGTGCTCTATTTCGTGGACCGTTTTCGTTTGGCTGTCGTTTTGCGGCAAAGGCGGAGCGGAGACAGAACGAGGCAAAACGAAAGCAAAACGGAAACGGAACACAGTATTTAGGTCGAGCCCTGTGATGCTCCCGACTCCATTCGATCCTGGTGGATTCTCTGAGTCCGATGCTTCGTCTGATAGGCCGTGGACGGATCCTGCGGTGGTCTAAGCCGCGCGGGGTGCAGGGGCGCTCGCCACCTGGCGAAATTTAAGAGCGGATCTCATCGAGAACCAGCGCTCTTCCATCGGACCGAGGTCGGCGGCGCAATTGATTGGCCAATTCTCCACCACCACTACCATAGGTAGAATGGCGGAGGAGTGAGGACGGGGAGGTCCTCCACCTCCTCCTCCTCCTCCTCCTCCTCCACCTCCTTCTCCTCCTCTTCCTCTTCCTCCACCTCCTCCTCCTCCTCCTCCACCTGCCTCTCCTACCAATGGTAGTGGTGGTGGAAAATCGGTCCATCAGAAATCCGAACCCTACCTTTGCCGATCAACGATTGGGCGGCGGGGATCTGGATCGGAATTCATCGAACACGTGGCGAAGTCCGAACTCTACCCCCGCCTCGCATATACTCGGGAGCATCGATGGTTGGTTGGGATAGGGCTTGGATGTTGCCACCTGCATGGGGGATCTGGGATTGGGGCGGGTTTCCTCCAGGCCTCTGGTCGGCACGATCGAACTCGTTACGGAAAGAATGGGTACAAAGTCCAACAACAGTTCCGGTCATTTTGTACAAAACTCGCTGTCCGCGCCGCCGCGGACGTTGTCGATTCGAGGCAGACGGCCGCCTGCCCAACAGCGGCCGCTGTCGGTTTTCGACAACATTTGCTGTCGGGCGTCCAAATCTCAGGCGATCGCAGACATAGATCGAAGGGGCGTGGCTTAGCGACGGGTCCCGTTTCCATGGGGCATCGCGGATTTCCACGGCTGCACGAGGCGGAACCGGCCGCATTTTGGGGAGGGCACCTCCCCCGATCCATGGATTTGGCGACCGTTTCGGGGGCAGGGGGCATGGTCAGGCCGGCCGCGCGAGCAGCCGCCCGACGCCTGGGCCAGACCGCTCTGCGGACCCAGCTTTCTGCTGCTCCCATCGTCCTGCAGGACCACATCACAGCCAACATTTCGAGCGCCCAGAAAAAAAGTGTCGAAACGGTGTCGAGCGAGAACTCCAGGGCACCTCCCCCGATCCATGGATCGCTCACCCATGCTTGCGCGCCCCCGAATTCCGGGCGTCCAGATCCGGTGCTCTCGCTCGTGTGAGCCCGCGGGCTCTCTCTCGACCAGTCTCGGGGGGCAGGGGCCCCTTTGGGCCCCCCGGGCTCCCGGACCTCTGGGGTGTTTTTTTTGTTGCTTCGCCTGTCTTCGGGAGCCCCGGGGGCCGACCTGGGGCCCCACTGCCGCCAACAAAATTACCCCAGTGCGACCCCTCCTAGAAGTTGGAGCCCCAACAAAATTACCCCAGTGCGACCCTACCTAGAAGCTCATAGAGTAAGAACCCTTCTAGGCAGAGCCTGGATAGAGCAAAATGCTTCGGGAGGAACCGCCGGCCTCGGGGCAGGGGCCGGGAGTTCTGAGGGCCAGCTTTCGGACAGACCGGGCCGCCGGATATGTCTGGGCAGGGGCCGGGTTGCGGAGGGCGGCCCCGGGAGTTCTCGCCGCGGCGCCGGCCGCAGTCCCCACTCAAAGCGGCACGGGGGCCCTGGCAGTGATTGCCTATGGGGCGGCGAGATTTGCAAACGTCCACCGCCCCGAGCCATACCCGCCCCGGAGCCAGGAGCGGTGCGCATCTATCATTTCCGCTCACTTTAATACTGTCGGCACGTTTGAGTTGCACTCTACGATGTCGTTCCATCCTGGTTTTGCAATCGCGCGCATGGATGACACACGCGTGTCGCCAATGAGGTGTTCAGGCTATCTCTGTATGGGCCAGGAGAACGTTGGAGCAGTGTCTACAGGGCCCTTGGTCAGGTCATGTGGCGGACTGGTTAGGTTACGGGGGAGCGGGCTTGTACTTGTGGTGGTCATCTTTTTATGCGCCGCCACATGTTTCGTCTATGTTTTGCATTTTCCCCAGTGTTTTTTGCTATTTCGCATGGCAAATTCGTGCTTGACGCATATAAGGGGGGAGAACTAACGAGGGGACTGATCACGACGACAATGGAAACGAGGATAATGGTAATGGGGTGGCAGAGGAGTGCGGACGCAGCGTGGGCTCGGAGCGGCGGGCCCCAAATTCAGGCGACTTTTTTGTTTTAGAGTGTCTGGACAGTAACGTTAGCTGGAATTTCTCCGCGCGTGTTTCTGGCGCACGAAGAGTTACCACGGCAAGCGCGGAACCACCCACACAACATGGGGCCGTCCTCGTGAAGGGTGTTTCGGAAGCGCGCTGGAACGATACGCGGGCCCAAGGTACACATGAGGAGCGCCCCTCCCCCTCTCCCCCGCCCTGGCCCCCCTGCGCTACAATGAAATGCGTTGTTGGTTTCTCTTTCCCTATCTTCTTAACTCCGTGTACTTATGCCTGTATATGTATGTATATGTCTACGTATGGCGATGTAAACATACATACAAGACGTGTAAACATGTATATACAAGTATGCGTGCGCGTGTGCGTGTGTGTGTGTGTGTGTGTGTGTTGTCGTTTCTCCCTGAGGCCCCTTGACAGTCCTGGGGTTTCACTTGCTGCCTTGGTTTCTTTTCCTGGTTAGCTTGCCGCCCTCCTGCTGCGCTGCGCTTTTTGTGTTGGCTCGTCACTATGGTACTGCGTCCTCCCTGTCCGTCAGTTTTCCCATCTTTCCCTCTTCTTTTCCTTCTCCCCACTCCCCTCGTGACTGCCCCGTCGCGAGTATTGCTGTCGATCCCCTATGGGCGGATCCAGCTGCTCCACGCTGCGTGAGCTGGCTCGGTCCGCGCTCTTTCGCTTGACGTGCCATACGCCGCGCCGCCGCGCGAGTGTCCGCAGCGCCAAAGAGTGCGTTTGTGTATGTGTGTGTGTGTGTGTGCGGTCCTTTTTTCCTCTTTCCTTCTCTTTTGTTGTTTCTCTCTCTCTCTCTCTCTCTTTCTCCATCTTTCTCTCTCTCTCTCTCTCGCTTCTCTCTCTCTCTCTCCCGCTCTTCCTCTCACCTCTTCCTCTCCATCTCTCGCTCTCTCTTTTTTTCTTCTCTCTCTATATCTCCCTCTTTCTCTGCATTTTTTTTAAAAAATCTCTCTCTCTATGTGTTTCAGTATGTCCCTCTCTCTCTTTCCGTGCCTCCCTCTCTCTCTGTTTCTTTATTGTTAAGATTTTCGCGTGTCAAAGTTTATTGTTTGTCTCTTTGTTTGTCTTTCTTTCTATCTTTATATATATATATCTCTCTCTCTCTCTCTCTCTTCTCTCTCTCTCTTATGTATCTCCCTCTCTCTGCACAGGCATGCATTCTGATGTACATCTTTGACGGTGAATATCCATACAATCACAGATCGTCTTCGTTTCTCCATCTCCGCCTCCGGCTTTGTCTGCCCCCGTGTATTTACGTATACCCATCGATAATTCAATCGGCGCATCGTCATCTTGTTTTGCTTGTTTTTCCCTTCTGCTCCCATCTCTCTGCCCTCAGTCGGTGAGGTCAGATGGAGACCTGCCCTCGTCCATAGAGCTCGGTGGCGCCCACGGCGGCATGAAGAGGGACTCGTGCGCTCCCCCTCGCGCCCCCTCGCCGCGAGGTGATGAGGGGCAGGGCGATGAGCAATGCGACAGCGCAGGCATGGACGGAGAAGAGGACGACGATGTACATGACTAGGGCGAACGATGAGGAGATGACGAGGATGAGGATGATGATGGTGATGATCGTTGTGATGATGCTGCTGGTGATGATGATGAAGATGAGGATGAGGGTGAGGATGGGGATGCTAATCATGACAATAACGGTGATGATGCTGATGAAACTATTCATAATAGTGCTGCTGCTGCTGGTGCTCACGATAACGATGATGGTGCCGATGACGATGACGATGATGATGATGATGCTGTTGACGATATTGATGATGCCGACGACGACCATGACGATGATGCTGATGCTGGTGATGATGATGATGATGGCGACGCTGCTGCTGCTGATGACGATTGTGATGATAAGCATGTCGATGATGAAGATGATGCTGCTGCTGCTTGTGATGACAATGCTGATGCTGGTGAAGATGAACATGAGGATGCTGATGATGATGGCGATGATGATGACGATGCTGATGCTGATGATGACGACGATGACGACGTCGATGACGATGATAATGATGCTGATGACGACGATGATGATGACGATGCTGATGTCGACGACGATGATGATGATGATGAAGATTCTGACGATGACGATAACACTTACGATGACGATGCCGATGACCATGATGATGCTGATGCTGATCACGATGCTGATGATGATGATGATGACGATGATAATGACGATGATGATGGTTAGTAATGCTGATGACAATGCTGCCGCTGACGATGCCGATAACGATGACGATGTTGAAGACCTTGCTGATGATGATGCTGATGCTGATGACGATGATGATGATGATGATGCAGATGCTGACGATGCCGATTACGATAACGATGACGATGACGATGGCCATGCTGATGATGCTGCAGATGATGACCATGCTGGTGATGCTGATGATGATTATGATGCTGATGCTCATGCTGATGCTGCTGATGATGATGCTGCTGATGATGCTGGTGATGATGATGATGACGATTATGATGATTATGATGATGATGCTGATGATGATGACGATTATGATGATTATGATGATGATGCTGATGATGATGATGATGGTGATGATGATGATGATGGTGCTGATGCTTATTATTATGATGATACTGAGGATGATGATGATGATGATGATGGGGATGATGATGATGATGATGATGCTGATGGTGATGGTGATGGTGATGGTGATGGTGATGGTGATGGTGATGATGATGATGATGATGATGATGATGATGATGATGATGATGATATGATGATGCTGATGATGATGATGATGATGATGATGATGATGATGATGCTGATGATGATGATGATGATGATGATGATGATGATGATGATGATGATGATGATGATGATGATGATGATGATGATGATGATGATGATGATGATGATGATGATGATGATGATGATGATGATGATGATGATGATGATGATGATGATGATGATGATGGTGCTGTTGATGATTATGGTCAGGATGGAAATGAGGCGGAATCCGAGGAGGACAGGCCGAAGGTGGAACGGGAGGGTAAGCATGAGGAGGGGGGATGAGGAGTAGGAGGGGAGTGGCGGACGATGAAGAAGCAGGAGGAGGGGGAGGATGAGCAGGAGTTGGCGAGATATTAGAAAGATGATGCGGAGGATGAGGCGGAGGAGGAGGAGGAGGAGGAGGAGGAGGAGGAGGAGGAGGAGGAGGAGGAGGAGGAGGGCTTGGCTGACGGTCCTCGGCTTTGCGCCCGGGCGCCCGACGTGCTGAGGCTGGTGGCGGGAAGCTGCCGCGGACACTAGTCCCTTTCCTTGGCTCCGGGAGCAAAAGCTGGCAGAATGTATTCGGTGGGGGCGTTCGTTCAGGAATGTGCCTGGGAGGCTTCAGACCCTGGGGGGTCTCCTTCTCTGATGAGGGCGGCGGGGATGTCCATGGCCGGGCCACGATTGGAGTTCCACTGGCTTCCAGACCATGGGCTCCTTATCCCAGGGGCTCCTTCTCCAGTGCCCCCACCGTAGGCTCTCGGAGGTGCGCGCGGGTCTCTCGGGTCGGCGCTGGGCCCCTGGCGCTCTCGGCTTGCCAGCGGAGCGGGGGTCCAGCGCCGACCCACTCAAGTCCGCGGGGGCCTCCGACGACCTGTGCATGCTGCATGTCTGTTGGTGCGTGTACTGTTCCGGGCGCTCAAGAAATGGCTCAGCCTTCGGCGGATCGCGCCTCTGGCGGTTTCCAGCGGAAGGCCAGCGGAAGTTATCCACACGGCAACGGGTCCGCCGACAGAAGCCAGCGGGAAGCCGGCGGGGAAGGAGTCGGAATCACAAGCGAGACTTCAACATTTTGTTGGATTCAGGGTTTCGTGCCGTTTTTTTGACGATCTCGGCGTGAATCTTCACGGTCCTGTCTTCCTGAGATGTTTGCGGCGGGAGGTCGCGTCATTTTTCAGACATGGTCCCGCCATTTTCGGACGGCCCCGTTGGGCGAATTCGAGCCTCCCATGCTCGAGTCTTACAGTCAACCCGCATAGTAAGGATGAGCAACTTTCCAAGGTTACCCTTGCATCCTTTTTCTTCGGCCAACATTTGGCCGCTTTCGCTGGCCGCGCCCCGCCCGCAAAGTGTCGACATGGCCTTCCAAGGCCGTTGCATCCTTATCGTGCGCCCTTATTATGCGTGGTAACTGTACGTCTGCCTGATCCAGCATCGGCCCGCCGTTCTTTCCCCCGTGTGCGCAAGTCCGCGCTGCTTGTTCCGCGGGTCCCATGTGGGCCAGCACCAAAAGGTCACTCTGGCGATCGGCCGCTAGTCGGCTGCATTCGGCATCTCGCGTCGAGCACGTATTCGGGTAGCCCCTGTGCGAGCTGGGTTCGGCTCCTTGCGTCATCTCTCTTGGGTCATCGTCCCCGTCGAGGTCGATGATGTCGAAGGTGGTCACCCTCAGCCTGGTGAACTCGTCGTTCTGGCAAGGTACGTTCCTCGCGGCGACGCGTCGGCCGCAGCTGCCTGCTTCTCGGTCCTCCCTCTCTCTCTCTCTCTCTCTTCTCTCTCTCTCTCTCCTCCCCGTTTTCCTCTTCCGCGTAGTCCTGTTTAGTATAGGACAGCATGGCGGAGTCCCCCTTGTATCAGTAGTTTCCACTGTCGGGCCTTGATGCTTACAAAAACAGAAGGTCACTCCGGCGAGGGCTCGTACCTCGGGTGTCTGGCCGTTCGGGACCCGGGGCGCTCTCGACGAGGCGTAGCTGCCGAAGAGCATCGCTAGGCAACTTCCAGGAATCGACGTCAACGCCTGGTATAGGGCGGGCGCACGAGGCCACTCTCTCCGCGGCCAGGGGGTAGGAGGGGTAGGAGGAGGAGCAGAAGAAGCAGGACGGGGGAGGGGAGGGAGGAGGGGGAGGGAGGAGGAGGAGAAGAGAGGAGGAGGAGGAGAGGAGGAGGAGGAGCAGCAGGAGAGGAGAGGAGGAGGAGGAGGAGGAGGAGGAGGAGGAGGAGGAGGAGGAGGAGGAGGAGGAGGAGAAGGAGGAGGAGGAGGAGGAGGGGGGGCAGGGGGGAGGGAGGGGGCAGGGTGGAGGGACGGGGGGAGAGGCAAGGTAGGTGTGCTAGCGTCACATCTGACGTCCTACCCCTCCCTGCCATCCCTTACCATGGCGTAGATCTCCGATCTATTCGCACAGTCGGATGTCGAGCAGGGCAGTGATCCCAAGAGGGTACGTGATGGATTATGAAGCATGGCGTATTAGAAGAGCACGGCATCGCATAGCATGTCATAGCATGGCGTGGCATTGCGTAGTGAAGCATTGCATTACAAAACGTATCAACGGAAAGCATGGCATCGCACAGCAGTGCACAACACAGCCTCGCATTGCATGCCGCGGCATGGCACCGGATGACTTGGAGGGTAAGTTGCTCGTCTACGCGAGGACAGGGACTGTCCGGAATGCTGGCTCCATGTTCTCCGCAACCGTTTTTGCCCGATGTGGGCGCTTTCGAATGTCAAGTGCCGTCCGGAGGCGCGGGAACGAGGCTAGCGCTGCAGTGAGAGCACGATTTTGAATGACCGAAGCGCGGAACTGAGGCGGCACTGCATCGGGAGCACCATTTTGGAAGAGCCAGAAAAGATCATTTCGAAAATCACATCGGAAACACTGAATCATGAAATCCTGTGTGCAAACAACAATACGCGGAGAGGACGGGACACTCTCCGGACAGAGTCCGAGGAGATAGGAGAGTAGTATTCATATTGTGTATTTGTGAAGGGGGAGAGGGGGGAGGGGAGGGGCAAGCTAGGTGCGCTCGCGTCATATCTGACGTCCCACCCCTCACTCCCACCCCTTGCCATGGCGTAGATATCCTCTCTATTCGCACAGTCGGATGTCGAGCAGGGCAATGATCGCGAGAGGGTACGCGATGCATGGTAGAGCATGGCATGGCATGGCGTGGAAGAGCACGGCAGAGCGTAGCTTGCCATAGCATGGCGTGGCATTGCGCAATGAGGCATTGGATCACAAAGCATTGCAATGCAAAGCATAGCATCGCACAGCGGCGCAGAACACAACACCGCACAGCGTGTCATGGCATGGCGCCAGGTTCCTTGGAGGGTAAATGGATAGTCGTCGAGACGTCTGGGCCGGTCTGGAATCGTGGCTCCATGTCTAGCTCCTTGGGCTCCCCGAAAAGCTCCACGCAAGGTGGGGCTGATGGAGGGCACCCGCTGGCTCTGCTTTCAACATTGCCTTCTCAAAGCAGAAACGGGGCTCCCGCTTTATACCTCCTGAAAACGACGACGCCCCAAAGTGGGGGCGGGGGGGCTTCTGCGGCCCAAAATTCAACGAATCAAGACCGAATGTGTAATCACTTTCGATGGTTTTTTCGGGGGGGTATTTTCCAGATTCTGGGGTTTATTTGGAATGAAGGCCGGCGCTGCAGCGGGAGCACGATTCGGAACGAGCGGAGGCGCGAAAATGAGGCCAGCGCTGCAGCGGGAGCACGATTCGGAACGAGCGGACGGCCGAAAATGAGGCCAGCGCTTCAGCGGGAGCAACATCTTGAACAACAGCCCAAGCTAAAACGCATTTCCACGGAATCCACGGTATAAAAACAATACGCGGAGGGGGGCTGGATATCTTCCGGACGTCATCAGGGGAGATAGGAGACAAGTATTCATATTGCGTAATTGTGGATGGGGAGGAGGATGGGGAGGGGACGGGGGAGCGGGCGGGGGAGGGGGAGGGGGAGGAGGGGGAGGAGGAGGAGGAGAAGGAGGAGGAGGAGGAGGAAGGAGGAGGAGGAGGAGAGGAGGAGGAGGAGGAGGGAGGAGAGAGGAGGAGGAGGAGGAGGAGGGAGGAGGAGGAGGAGGCTACTCCCCGCTTCCCGCTCCCCGCGGCCACTCCGCCCCGCCTCCCACGGCCCAGGACATCACCGCGGTGCTCATGGGCAGGGGCGTGAAGGCGAGCGGGCTGCGGCGGCCCGGGTCGGCGCGCGGCCCTCCGCCCGGCCCTCTTGCGTGGGCCCGCCTTCGCCGCTGGGGGTGCGCTCCGGCGCGGAGCCCCCATGGAGGGACCCAAGGCTGGGTCCCCGAGCATGCCCCGACAGCACGTCTGCACGCGAGCACAGGCTTTCGGAGGTCCGCGCGGATGTCTCGGACTGGCTCTGGGCTGCCCGGGCTCCCCCCCTGGCGGTGCGGCGCTCCGGTCCCGCGCGGGTCTCCGAGAGTTTCTGCTCATGCTGGCTTTGGCCATTTTGCCAGGGGGGGCCCTCAGATGCCCACAGCGGGAGGGCAGATGCGAGGGCGGCGGGGAGGAGGAGGAGGAGGAGGAGGAGGAGGAGGAGGAGGAGGAGGAGGAGGAGGAGGAGGAGGAGGAGGAGGAGTAGGAGGAGGAGTAGAAGGATTTGGTTCGATTCGGTTCGGTCGGGCCTCGACGGGCGCGGTGCGAATCGTGAGGCAGGCGGTGCATGCAGATGCTACCCATCAGCTGTGCATGGTCAGGTTGGGTTCCCCAGAGGCCCCACCGCCCACGGGCCGCTACTCGCCGTCGCTGTGGTCCGTCGCGCGAAGCCCGCGCCAGCGCAGCCGCTGGGCCACGCTGAGCCGATGCGGGGTGGCGGGTCCGTGACCTTCGCCTTCGGCGCCCTCCTGGCCGCAAGGTTGGACCCTTGCCCGTGGGGCGTCCTAGACACTGCTCGGCACGGCCGTCGACTCTCCAGCACCAGACGTGCGTTCGGGCCTGTGCATCACAACCTATGCCCCTGGACGTTGGCGTACTGGCCCAAGTCGTCGAAGACCAGGCGGGCCGCAGCGGTTCCATTGCAGCTGCTCTTCTCCAGGCGAGCTCGCCTGGACTCGCTGAAAACTCGCTGTCGGCAGCGGCTGCACTTAAACCCACTCCACATGGCGACCACGTCGTGCGTCTGCCCCGCTGGCGCCGCGGGAGGCGGGGGTCGCTCCCGCGGCTCGCGCTTGGGCGGCGTGACCGCGGCGTGACCGCATCGCCCTTGCCGCCACTGCCCCCCACCAGCTGCGTTGCGATGCTGTGTGGCCCAGCGCCCCGGTGACCTGGCCAGCTGCTGCTGTGACCGCCTGGTCGATTTACTCCAGCAGCTCGTTCACGCCGACTTTGCGCGCTCCTTGGCCCAGGTGTCGGCTTCGCCGTTGGTTATGAGGATGTGCTGGTCTACCTCGGACGCGTCGGCGATCCTGGGCTTGGAGAGGTGCGCCCTGACCTTGAAGAATGATCCCCCCTCTGGGCCGAGCCCGATGTCTTCCAGCCATGCCCAGATCAAGCGCCAGAGACGTCCGCTTGCGGGCGGCGCGAGTGAGCGCACCACCGCTTGCCGGCTTGGACGCCATCCAAGATAAGCTGGCAGTCGACGTGAATGGGGACCGGTGGGAGACAACACCTCAAGACCACTGACATCGCGAGGAGCTCAGCCCGCGCGATCCGCCTCTGAACTGGCAGCGATACTGGCATGGGACCCCACGCGACGATGGCAGCGTCCGAGCTGGCCCGGGGTTGCGCTGCGGCGATGCATGTTCGACCGAGGTCCCGCCAGCTGCCCACCTTGCTGCCGTCGATGGCGACGTCGCCTTCGAAGCACGCCTCCGCGTCCTCGGCCAGGAGCCATGTGAGCGCGTCCCACTGCGGCTGGAAAGGGTACCTGGTCGCGGGTCTCCGAACCGGGCCGCGGTCCCACAGCCAGCGCCTCTCGGAGGTGGCGATTTGGTGCTGCCACTTCGCTGGGAGTGCCAGGCGGACCTTACGATTGGCATTCGCAATGGCCTAGGCGATGCTTCGAGTCGCCGACCACCTGGATACCGCGGGCCAGGGAGGCGAGGCAGTGCGGGTGTTCAGCGACGCATCTGTTGTAGACGCGCTCGTGAGTCAACATGCTTCCCGCCACGGTTTGCGCGGCTGCTGCTGTGCCTGGGCCCCATTGGCGGCGCTGGAGCCATCGTCGGCTGGATCCATTAGGGGCGCCAGCGCCAGCTCGGCCCTGCAGTCGGTGGCCGACGTCCACCGTTCCCACGTGACGGCCCCTCCGCGCCCTGGCGACGACATCCTTGGGGCATGTGGTTCGCACGTCGACGGCTTGGCCCTCCCTGGTCAGGAATGTGTGCCACGCGGGCCAGGTCCATCCCATGATATGGGCTTGCATGATGCATGACCCCGCTGGTCCCTCCACGCGGCCCCACTTCGGCGTCATCCCCACGCGGATCTGCTGCCGCCTCCACGCGGACTGCATGGCGGCTGGCGACGCGAGATCGTCCCAGCACGCGCTAAGGAGGAGAAGGAAACGGAGGAAGAGCATGAGTAGAAACAGGGCGCGAACGCCAACGGGTTTTCTTTTTTTTGTTATTTTTCTTCTTCTTCTTCTCTACTCTCTCGACCGAGGGCTCGGTGGCTTTGCACAAGGATCTACCTCTCCCCCTGGACTTAACGGTTGGTGTTTTATCATCGTTTTGCATATGATTGTGTACGATCGGTCATCCTAAATTTGAGTATGTACCATCCCAGACAGTTCCTTTTCGACCCCCCCCTTCATCCTCGGCGCAACTTCCGGTTTCCAGTATTATGGCTTTCAACATGAGCATCGAATGCTACCAAACGTGCCTCTCGCGCGCGCATGTCGAAATCGTTCGAACGCCCTTGCGCGCATGCTGTCGCAATAATCCCTTGCAGCACATGGGACGAAGCGCACACGCGCGCGCGCACTTGCGAATTCTTAGGACAACCATCGGTTTTCCAATATCTTCATAATGTTCGACCAAGCGGGCCGCATGTCGAACTCATTCGAACGCCTTTGCGCGCGTGCTGGGGGGGGGGTCACGATCCTTGTCAAATAATACCATGCGGGCCACTCGCGCGCGTCGGCCGCGCGCATGTCGAACTCCTTCCAAAACCTTCATCACCGACGCGAGGACACCGTCAGCGTCATCGACGTGATCAGCATTGGCCTCGTCATTGGCCACGCCGTCGTCATCGTCATCATCGTCACCATCATCATCGCAACTATCATCATCGTGTCTACCGTTCTCGACTTCGCGATGATACCGCGCCCGCCCAAGTCACCGACTTGCACTAAAATGCCCGCTGGGAAGTGCCCAGCGGTCAGCGCCTCCGCGGCCGCGTCGGTCGCGCCCCAAACTAGTAACTAGCTGGCCGTTGTGCGCGCGAGCATGCGCGGGCTAGCGCGGCCGCAAAGATGCACCAGCCAGCACCAGGCACTCATCGTAACCGCTGCCGCATGGGTTTTGGGAGCCAAGTTGCGTGTGTGTGTGTGTGTGTGTGTGTGTGTGTGTGTGTGTGTGTGTGTGTGTGTGTGTGTGTGGGGGATGGTTGCGCGAGCAGTTGAGTTGACAACTCTTCGTTTTCAAAATCAATAGCACCACATACACTGCACATTGCAATCTGTAGATCGCATCACACATGTTGCACTACGCAAGTGGCACAACATCGGTTGCACCACATCTATTGCACAACATATGTTGCACATCGTAGATGGCACAACGCAGGTAGCAAAACATAGGTAATTCCACATGTATGACACGACCGCGAATGCTAGAACACCTACGCTGTCTGGGATCCACGCTGGGTCACGCACATGTACAGGACTAGATACATGCAGTGCCCCTCTCTTCTCTGTGTATTTTTCTCTATGTATTCATGTTCGTTGTTGGGAGTACACCTAATAATATACGTGTATTCATGTACATGTTTAAGCAACTTGACCGCTGGCCCGGTGGTGGACCTCTTGAGCGGCAAACTGTCACACTTGGTCGCCACCGGGGTGCTCACCCAGAACCCCCATGATTACAGTCAATTATGATAGCAAGGATGGGGTGAATTTCCAAGGCTACCCTTGCATCCTTGCTTCTCTTCGGTCTTCGACGTCCTTCGGCATTCTGCTGTGCTCCGCACGGAAAACGTCAACATGGCGTTCCAAGGCCCTTGCCTCTTTACCGCGCATCCTTACTATCCTCGTCGAGTGTAGCCCCGGTACGCGCGACAATGCACCTGGCAACGTGGAACGCGGAGCCCATCGGGAGGCGTCCACCTGTGCACACCTGTACGCGCACGAGCCCGGGCCAGGCCAGGCCCGGGCCCAGGGTCGGTGCACATGTACCCCTGGCTTGGTCAGGCCAGGAGGCTTCACTGGTCGTAGGCAAAAGTCCTCCTCCTCTCCTTCTTCTTCTTCTTCTTATTCCTCCTCCTCCTCCTCCTCCTCCTCCTCCTCCTCCTCCTCCTCCTCTTGTGTTCCTCGGAGTACCGATCTCGAGGTTCCGTGCGCTCTCCAGGCCTCCCTGGGCGCCCCCGTCGCCACGGCCCGGATTCCCCCTCGGGGTCTCTGCCAGAGTGATCCCCCCGAGAGCGGCGACGGGTGCCGAGAGAAGCCGCCATTCCAAGGCGCGCTTGGCGAGCTTAGGCTGTGCGGCGTCCACCCCTGCCCGCACCTCCTCCCTGCAGCTGGACCTCAGACTTTCATCGAGAGGGGTAGAGTTATTCGACGCGGAGGTCCCCATATCTGCATGTCTGTTCCTGACTTTTCTGTCCGCGGGTGTCTGAGTGGGAGCATCATAGCTTGTCTCGACTGAGCGACCTCTGGCGGCTCCGCTCCGGAGTGCCCAGGTGTTGTGCTGCATCGGGATGTTCATGGGGCCCTGAAAGGAGAGGGGTCGTTGGTGCCGAAACCAGCGTTTCGTCTGACTGACTCGAAAGATCCTCACGATCTGCTCTGAAAGCAGAGGGGTCCCAGCCACGAAACGTGTGCATCGCTCGAGACATCCCCACAGTCTGGCCGCGAACGGGCCCGTGCAATACCCCCTGGCGACTCCCCTTGGGGTTGCGAAGCCAGCGCCTCGCTCGAGACATCCTCACAAAGTGAGTGTGAGGCGCGCATGGGTGTGATTGATCTGTGTGAGTGAGTCTGGGTGCCAGTGACTCGGAGTGTG